GGAACCATGGAAAAGTTAGTTATCAGTAAATCAGGAGGCCATATATCCAACAATCAGTAAATGCCCTAGCCAGGGTTTGAGAGCTCCCAATCATACAGTTGTCTTTCCATACAAATATAAGGGTCAAGAAAGCAATACCATAAACAGAATCATATTGGTTAGTTCCCAGGGAAATAACAAAAATGTAGCTAAGGACAAACAATTATGTTAGTAATAACACCTGTAAAATCATAGATAGTCTTAGCTATTCATCTTTAGAAGCAGTCTTTTTGAAGAGAATTTTTTTTTTCACAGTGTTAGGGCTTGAACTCTGGGCCTATACCTTGAGCCACTCCACCAGCCCCTTTTTTGTGAGATAGGTTTTTTCAAAATAGGTCTTAAGGACTATTTGCCCACTGGCTTTGACCCATGATCCTAATTTCTGTCTCCTGAGTAGCCACCAGCGCCCGGCTAAAGAGAAGTTTTAAGTCTGTCATCATATTGCTTGTCCACTGCTGGTTGGTTGCTTTGTAATCAGACTGGTAAGGCAAGTTTGCCTCTGGTGTGATGTGTCCAAGGTTTAATTCCTACAGGCTTAACAGACAGTGGGTAGTCAGCAGAACACCATAGGTTCTGTTCTTCAGGTCCTTGTTCTTTTTAGGAGCTGAGAAGTACTCGGACTGCAGCCTTAAACTGGTAAAGAGGGATGTCTGTAGGAACAACACCCTGTTAGAAGAAAACTCATGAGTAGAAGTCAAGACCTCATTTAAGGGTTTTGAGCAACCAGTGATTGAGATTTTCCTTAGAGCCAGGTCTCCCTCTGGTGGGGGTACCTGGAATGGTCTCCCATACATTAGTTCATATAGGCTGAATTGAGCCTCTTCTTAGATGCTCCCCTTACCTGAAGCAAAGCACTAGGCAACACCTTTTCCCATGTCAAGTGGTTTCTTGGTAGATTTTTGTGATGGTTCTTTTCAAAGAACCTCTCTACCTTTCTGGTAGATTGTGGTCTCCATGAAGCATGTAATTTCCAGGTGATGCCTAAGACCGTGGTTGCCTCTGAGTTATTTTAGCCACAAGAACAACCCCATTATCATTTTGTGTAAACACAAGCAGTCCATATCTAGGAATTATTTCTTTCAATTTTTAGTTATTTCATAAGACTGCTCTGTCCTAAGGGGTAGGCTTCAACCCAGCCAAACAAGTACCTATGAAAACTAACAAGTATTTAAATTTTCCAGCAGCTTTTTGAAGTCTCTTGTCAGTCTTCACCAGGCTTCATCTTCAGTGTTGAATTCCCCTTCCCAAATTGGAGACTTAGTGTTTGGGTTGTTTTGAAATAGATTACACGTTGTTGGGTAATTATTGGACAAATCTCTGTAGACTGGGCCTATCTGATCCCACTGGACCCATTGAAGAGTGGTTTCTCACCACAATGGGTACTCAGGTAGAGATGTTCTAAGACATCTACCTCTTAGTAGATCTACCCCTGCCACTGGGATAATGCACTTATCATTGCATTTCTAAGTGGGATGCTCTTAGGAAGAAGTCTCAAATCCCTACTTTTCTTCTTAAGGGGCAAGTATTGATTGGAATCGGTTTGTGAAACAATTGCGGTCAAAAGAGCCTCAAAGCTCATGGTTCATGCAAACTTCTTAGCACCCTCATCAGTCAACTGGCTTCCTTTGGCCATTATGGAATTTCCCTTTTGGTGCTCCAAGCAATGAATTACGGCTAGTTTCTTTGACTCATTAACAGCTTGGAAAAAGCCAAAATTTCAGAAACATGTTTGATATCCTTATTACTGAGGTTAGTAGGCCTATTTCTGTATAGCTAGTCCCATAAGCATGAACCACAGAGAACACATAGCTGGAGTCAGTGTAAATATGGACTACTTTATTTTTATCCAAATATAGAACTCTCATGGGAGCAATGATTTCAACCTTCTGTGTTGAAGTACCAGAGAGTAAGACCTTTGCTTCATCAGTCTCTTGCAAAATGACAGTGGCATATCTGGCCTGGCATTGTCCTTAATCTGTGACACTACTACTGTTGGTGAACAATTCCACACCTGATTTTTCTAGTGGTTGATCATTCATGTCTGATCAATTGGAAAACACTTGTTCAATTATCCGAAGATAGTCGTGTAAAGAAGGTTCTTGGAAGTCAAAAGGCAGGATAGTTTGAAGATTCCCAATCCACCTAAAGGCAGACAATGGCTTCCTTTGGGATCTAACAGTGGAAGGACACACTGTGTGTGGGAAGGTGGATGGAAGAGAGGAGTAGGGTAGTGCATTGCTGAAGAGCAAACTCTTCAGGGTAGAATAAGGGTAGATGCACATGATCAATGCATGATGTATACATATATGGCAATATTACAGTGAATCCCCATCAATTTATAAAATTAATATGTAGCAAAAGTATAAATTAAAAAGTAGATTTTTTAAAGAAATAAATTCTTCTTTCTAATTCTGTCTTTTGGTTGACAGAGTTCTTACTTTGTTTTTCCAACTCTTATAGCTTTTTCAATTTGGGACAGTTTTAATACAGTGTTTTCTTCTTCCTTGAGGTAGTTTCATTAATTTTTTTTCTTAGAGAAGTCTGTTTTTACATACCTTCCTTAGGTTCTTTCATGATCCTTTCTATTTTTCCCTCTAGGATTCTGAATGCTGAATGAGTGCTGCTGAGACACTTGTTGCTTCGTGTACTATGTTCTATCAGAGGCATCTCCTATAATTTTTCAGACAGACAATCCACCATCATTTGCATCCCAATTGAGTTCTACCATAGGAAGAAGCTATGGTTGCCTCTGGTCTGGCAGAATTCATTGGATCTGCTAGGTGGAGTCTTTAGGCTTCCTCTCTTGCTCTCTCAAAGACCATTTGGGGTTCTTCACCTATTTGCAAAATGTTCATAAGAGACTGAATGTCAGCCCAAAGGGTTGCAAAAATAAAGGCAAACAAATATAAAGGAATATTGTTTGTCCAATGAAGTAAATAAGAAGTAGAAATTACTCGAGCTGGTGGCCCAATCACATTCAGTCCTCCGTGGCGAACTGGTAAAGTGCATATTTCCTAGCCTGTGGATCAGCAGTACCTCAGCCAAATTAGGTACGGAAGGAAGAGACTATTCTAGTCATCTCCCCACCCTGCTTCCTGGATCATTTTAGTCCTGCTGTACATTCCCATAATGGGAGCTCTGGTTGAAGAGCTTGTGGTGTGAGGCCATTGGTGAATTAAGAACATTCAAATTTATTTATCTTTCTCTTATTCCTTATTGAGGATGATAGACTTAGATTTGTTTGTCTTCTGAATCATGATTTTGCATCTTCCCTGAGCAGGTCCATTTTGATAAAGTAATATGAAGGCTTATGTGTATGGGTTACTATCTTCCTGACATGAATGACTTGCTTGCCCCTGACTCCCTTTACTCTCTGGTAACCTGTCGGGCCCTGTTGGGTTTCAGATCCCTACATTAAGCACATATGTTCTGGGTGTCAGTGGCTCATGCCTGTAATCCTAGCTACTCAGGAAGCAGCCCAGGCAAATAGTTTTACAAACACTATCTCAAAAAACACCCAACACAAAAACAGGGCTAGCAGAATGGCTCAAGTGGTAGTGCACCTGCCTAGGAAACTTGAGGCCCTGAGTTCAAACCCCAGTATTGCCAATTAAAAAAAAAGCACACATGTGGCAAGTCTGCCAACATTTGTCCCATGTGTTCACATCTAATTTAGAAATGAAATTGGCCCTGTGTTCAGTCTTTAAATCATATTCATAATGAGAGACACATTTTAGCTTTTGGTACCATTGTAGAACAATCAGCCCAGCTTGACAAATTCAGTTGAGTCTTTACTAGTAGTGAAAGGCCAGAAATTACCCAATTGTGCTTCAAAATAGTTTTCACTTTTGGAACATAATTTTTAAAACTTTTTAACAAAAACCCATATATTTGAAATATTTTCCTTTGTGTTCAAAACCTCATGAACATTAGATACAGTTGTTTACCTAAAGTGATTCATTTATCATTCATTCATTCATTAGACAACCCAATTGTCCTAGGAAAGAAAATAACCACATATAATCATGGGTGGTTGCGTTAATCTTCAGCCAGATAACAAGAACTATGTCCTTTTGCTTATTGTATTGCTGGTGTCTACATATTTTAGAGGCATGACTATTTATTAAACGTTTGCTATGTGTCAGACACTATTCTTGGCAATTACTGAATTCATATTCAGTCTAGGGAGTCAGACAGCAAAAAAATAAGCAACCAAATAAGTAAATATTATAAGTGGTGAGAGTTGGTAAGTGCTATGGATAAAAAAGAAAGTGGAGTAGGGTAAGGGAGATAGGGAGAACTAGCCAGTTAATGTGTTTAATAGTGTGATCAGAGCAGGTCACATTGGAAAGAGATTTCAGCAAAACGAAGGATGTGAGGGAGTTAGCCAAGTTGGTCTGTGGGGAAAGAGCCTTTCAGGGTAAGAAAAGACCTAGAGCAAGTGTACTATAGAAAAATGTGCCTGACGTGTTCAAGGAGCAGTGTGACTACTCTGGTTGAGTTACTGTTAAGTAAATTGGCTACACTAGAGGACAAGTATAAGAACACACATGCTGTTCCTCATTGAGTACTGTCCATAGGAATAGTCTAGTCTCCTTCACTAAGGAATGTTTGTCACCTATTTTCAATTAGCCAACGTTTTGATTTGGCATGACCTGAGCATTGAGTGTAAGGACTGTATGACTCTATGTAGGTTTAATTTTCTAAGGGGAACATATGCAGCTGGCCCCAGCTGGCCATGAAGAGGAGATGCTGACTAAGCTATGGTATATATGTCATGAATTCTCATAAACTGGCTGCATTTTTATTATTCCCAACACACTCTCCTGTTCCATAATTTGAACACTTGTGTTTTTCAAGGGTGTTGTCCATGACAACACCTTACTCTGTCCTAATTAGTTCAGTTCAGAGAATGCTTTCTGAAAGTTTCCCTAACAGCTCTTCATGTCACCTCAATGTAGCTGCTCGCAGAAGACTGGCCATTTGGAGTTGAGATGTGTAAGCTGGTGCCTTTCATACAGAAAGCCTCCGTGGGGATCACTGTGCTGAGTCTATGTGCTCTGAGTATTGACAGGTAAGAATTTATTTCTAAGCCAAGGAGATCCTAAACACTATACTACTCTTTGCTATGTTACATCAAAGATAAACTATGTAATCAATAAAACTAGGCTCTACCAGGTTAAGAAACAATTCTTTTTTCATCTTCAGATATCGAGCTGTTGCTTCTTGGAGTCGGATTAAAGGAATTGGGGTTCCAAAGTGGACAGCAGTAGAAATTGTTTTAATTTGGGTGATCTCTGTGGTCCTGGCTGTCCCTGAAGCCTTAGCTTTTGATATGATTTCAATGGACTACAAAGGAAAGTCTTTACGAATTTGCTTGCTTCATCCAGTTCAAAAAACAGCCTTTATGCAGGTAAATAAATTTGCCTTTTATTTTTCCTTTTCTGTTCTTTCCTTATAAATATTTGGCTACTCTTCCCTGTTCTCCCCTTGGAAGGTTGTTGATTTATGCATGTCCTTAACGTAAAGTAAGAGTGTAGATCTCAAGACTAATGACCCAAGCTGCAAGAATTAAGATTAGAACTTCTCTAAGAACCCTCTGGATCTCAGGGACACAGATAAACTAAGTTACATGAGAATTGATGTGAATTTTTAGCTTTTTTACTCAAAGTCCCCAAAGGACTGACCACTACTATACACTCTGCATAAGACAACCCAGCAGTCAAAGAAGGAGTGGGTGGTTCAGCTAATGGTTCAGTGGAAGCCACTGGTATGAGAGGATTCTGAATATCAAGCCTATCCCCCTTCATCTTTGATGTTAATGTGAAACCTGCCTTCGAAAATATTGTATTACCTGGGTCATTTATTAAAGAATGTTTGATCAGTAAATGAGAAAAGAATGATGACACTAGTCTCCAAAAGATAGATCCTATGTCAAAGGCTGTTCTCAACAGAATAGATTAAGAGAAGTCAATGCAAAGGCGGCTGGACTATCCCCAAAGATTATTTTCTATTTTATATGAAAGAAGACTGAATGAAACTTCATGAGGTCTGGAGCTATAGCTCAAGTGATAGAGTGCTTGCCAAACAAGTGCTAGGCCCTTGGTTCAATCTCCAATACTGCATAAAACAAATAAGCTTCACAAAAAGTGTGCATCATAGTAAGTAAAAGAATACAAAAGGACATTAATGTGAAATTAAGAATGAGATCGTCACTTATGTGAGGTGCCACTGGGTTACATAAATTCTTCTCCATCACAGACATTCCTGGAGCAACATTTTTTTTTAAAGGTGACAGGGAAGAAAAGGAGTAAGAGAAGAGGCGTAATCCATAAGCACTTTGGTTTTTTAATTGAACTTATATTTATATGCTACTAACCTAAATAGTTAATACAAACCTTTTCATATTTTTTCCCACTGCATACACTTAGTAAAAAGTGAAAACATCGCCTGGACACTACGATATCTTAGATATTCAGACATGATATTTAAAACAAAGAATACCCTACAGATAACTTGCTTATGTGAAGATGAAACATTCAAATTTTGCCCAACTGCTAAAATCTTGAGCATAATTATACTACCCTTTCCCAAAGGACTGAAATACTTTTTGGAAAGTTTGTTTCATTTAATGTATGTATTTAATTTTTTGTCCAGTAGATGTGGCCTGAGAGATCCTCTGCAGTATTTATCAAATGGATCTATGTCAGAAGATGGTTGCTCCTTGATGAATTTTTTTTTTTAAGTTTAACACTTGGAACATAAGATTTTTTATAAAACAGTATTAACCATAAAAATTCTCTCTTCCCCATAGTTCTACAAGAAAGCTAAAGATTGGTGGCTGTTCGGGTTCTACTTCTGCTCGCCCCTGGTCATCACTGCCGTTTTTTATACCCTGATGACCTGTGAAATGTTGAGAAAGAAGAGCGGCATGCAGATTGCTTTAAATGACCACTTAAAGCAAGTAAGAAGATGCAAAGACCTGACGACTGGGGATCATGACTATGATTATGATGAAAATTGTGATGATGATAACAAAGTAAATTATTCATCAGAGCACATTTCCATTTTTTACTTTCTGGTATTTTTGAGTCATAAAGAATATTTCAGATTATCTATTTAGAGTTATTCTCTATCATCTGAAAGGATCTAGAGAGAACTTTTTATAGATTAGAACTAATTTAGTTCTAATTCATATTAACTGCTCGATTGAAAGCTCAGTGTTCTGAGTCTTTACAAATGTCCCTGATTTCTGTAAATAACATTATGCATTCTGTTTGGGAAGGGCATGTGCTATAAATATAAGGATCTGACTATGGTTTTATTTCAGAGACGAGAAGTGGCCAAAACAGTGTTTTGTCTGGTCCTTGTGTTCGCCCTGTGTTGGCTTCCCCTGCACCTCAGCAGGATTTTGAAACTCACACTTTATGATCAGAACGATCCCAACCGATGTGAACTTTTGAGGTAAGAAAGGTAGAATCAAAATCATTTTGTAATTACGTGTCATTTGGGAGTGTTTCCATCAATCCCCTTCATAGGCAGAGAGAGCACCACTTTTCTAATCCTTGGGGAGCAATTAAGACTCCCAATTTTACCTTCATTCCTGTTTTTCAGGAGAATAAGGGGGACCCAAGGAACCATGGGAACACAGAGGCAGAGTTGTCAAAATGATGAGTGAGTGACAACACTGACAATACAGACCTGACCTTCCCTTGCACTTAGAAATCCTTTCTTTTCAGCTAGCCTCCCCACTTTGAGATGAGATTTTATTTTAAAAGGGAGAGTTGTACGTGGGAGGGAAACAAGGGGAAGAGCAGTGGAAATGATGAGACAGAGACAGACTGAGATTATTACTGGTAAATTAACCATGAAATCAGAACCACTGGATATGGGTAATCATTCTTCTTCACAAAAACATAAAATCTGCAATGAATGCACACTCAAAGCAACATATTTTTGATAGACACATTTGAATTTTTTGGGGTTTTGCAGCTTTTTGTTGGTATTGGACTACATTGGCATCAACATGTCCTCCTTGAATTCCTGCATAAATCCAATCGCTCTATATTTGGTGAGCAAAAGATTCAAAAACTGCTTTAAGGTAAGTGAATATTCCAAAATAAAAAGCTTTTTTTGTAATATAACATTGACTAGAACCATTGAAAACGACTGATATGTCTATCTATCCAGAGGAATTTAGTAAATTCTGTTTCAATTTTCCCTGCATTAATTACATCCTGGATGATATAAAATATGACTTCTGCTCATAAATCACTACAGTGGATTTTTGCCTAAGATTCTAGCCAGCCACCCCCTGTTGCTTTAGTCAACCAGTTACAGTCAAAGAATTCCTCAAGAAATTAATAAAAATTTCATGTATTAAGACTGGGCATGGTGGCTTGTATCTATAATCCCAGCCACTCAGAAATTAAAGATAAGAAGATCTTGGTTTGAGGCCGACTGGGAAAAAGCGAGAGACCCTATCTGAAAAACAAACTAAAAGCAAAAAGGACTGGGGATGTGGCTCAAATGGTAGAGCACTTGCCTAGCAAGTGCGAAATCCTGAGTTCAATTCCCACTACTGCCAAAAAAATGACATTGATGTCTGACAGATACCACATAATAAGATAAAAACTAATTATACATGCACCCATAAACACATGCATATATATGTAGGCATGTATGTGGTAATATTTCTGCTTGAGAGGGAAAAAGTTTTATATCCTACATTTGTCACCTATTAGGAGTAACCAACTCGGTGGGGAGGGGAGATATAGAAGAATGACGGAGGGGGCGAATTTAACCATGATATATTATAAGAACTTTTGTAAGTGTCACAATGTGCCCTCAGTACAACAATGAAAAAAAAGAGAGGAAATATCAATAAATAAGAGTGGCTTTCTGTTTGTGATGAATCTTAATTATATAGTTTTTTCTTGTATATATTTTGTTCAGTGATAACATTTATCTTTTTAAGAGGGGAAATAAGAGATCAAGGAAAGATAGAGCCCAAGAACTCTCAATCCCACAAAGAAAGTCAGAGCCCTGAGAGCAGGACAAGTGGTAACTGTGAGGCTCGTATAACACATAACAAGTTGCTTTGTTTTGTGCAGTCATGCCTATGCTGCTGGTGCCAGTCATTTGAAGAAAAACAGTCCTTGGAGGAAAAGCAGTCATGCTTAAAGTTCAAACCTAATGATCAGGGATATGACAACTTCCGTTCCAGTAATAAATCCAGCTCATCTTGAAAGAAGAAACATTCACTTCATCTCATTTTCTTTATTTTGGACAGAAGTCATTAAAACAAAATGAAACATTTTCCCAAACAGATCAAAAGGCTGTATGTTTGCACAAAACCATGTGAAAATGCAAGAGGGATTACTTTTAACACTCAGAGTTACACCTTATGTTTTATGAGCTGTGTACAACATGAGAAGAAAAGCAGTGAGAATTAAGAAAGCCTCATTGTGAAAGCACTTAATTTTTTATCGCAGTTAGCACTTCAACATAGCTCTTAATAGCTTCTAGTATATTCATAAGCCATTTACATTTAAAAAAACAGCTGTCTCCGAATTTCTGTTAGAGTTATTAAGTATGTGACTCTGAATAAAAGGAGAATAGGTCACAACACAGAATTTTTAAATGAAGTTTCAATTACTCACTCTGAAATTTTAAAAATCCTTTACTAGCAACTTTCTTTTAGAATAGTGTCACACTATTCATTACTGGTCAAACTGTAATTAGATGCAAAATGTGAAAGCAGTTAGCCAAGGGACTTTTTTGGATATTAAAAACATTAAAATGATCAAGAGGGAGCATTAGAAAGAGAGATCAGGCTAAGTCTTCAAACATCATCGCGTTCTTTAGAGTGATCAGATTAAGATCAAAAGACCCAAAGAGCAAAAGAGGTTTGAATTGCTTTCACAAAAAACTTCTTTAAAATCTCCCATTCACGTGCTCTATAAAGAAAATACTACCTATAGTTTTTTAGAATGCTCACAATATTATTCCTTCACTATTGTAGTTTAAATTCCATTTGTTTATTTCTGTCATCTGTAAATACTTAGTTACATGTAGATGACTAAATGAAGGGCAGGCCCCAGTGTTCATAGCTCTATGACTGAGAGATGCCAGTGACCCCATAACGGACAGAATGTGAATTGCCTGGTGCAATGTCCACATGACAAAGGAGCGAGGAGTATCCCCTCTTGCCCATGTTGTACTTAAAATGGTCTCTAGCATAATTTTAGAGTGAAAATACTTAATATCACACAAATTAGTGAATTTAACAGTTATGTATGAGGTTTATTACTAATTCTAATATTTTTGTAAATAACCAATAGAAAGGTATACTTGGCATGGTGCTTTCTATCACTTAGAAGCCAAACTGCTCTTGGGGACTGCAAAAATCTCTCCACTTTATGCATTCTTGCCTAATTTTTTAAGCTCCTCAGCAAAGTGCCTTAGGTTAACTCCGGATGAGAAGTGTGTGAAAGTATGTGCAAGGGAAAATGGAAGAGAGGAAACGAGGTGGGGTGGGAGGAAACCCATGGGGATGGATTCCCATTCTTAGCCTGGTGTTCGTCATTGCCCTGTCCCATCAATGGGAAAGGTCCTGATTCTGTTCCAGCTAAACACAGCTCAGTGTTCTCAGAGTGACTTTAAGAACAAATTGGGCCCAAGAGCTTTAACTCTGTCTTAAAATATATCAGAATTTCCAATATTTTTTTCTTTTGTAAGTCAGGCCACATGTTGAAAATAAGCTAGGAATGTTGTTTTCTGCCAGAATCCAATGTAACCGTACAATAAACTGAAATGCAGTAATGTGGTCTAAAAGCAAGGGCAATAATTAATTCACATGCCACATGGATTCTGTTTACGAGTCTCCCACAGTTCTTGTTTATTAATTTCTTCCCATCTTTTCAGACGCCTGTCATTGTAAAAGATATTTCAGACTTTCAATTTTAAGTTAACTTTGGGTCACTAACATTTTCATAGTTTGTGCATATATTCTTATTCCTACTGAGTTTTAGGTCATTTGTACCACCATGTACTGAGTTTTTACATCCTAATATCCTCCTCATTTATATCCCATTACTCTTTCCTGCTCCATGTCAGAATCATGAGCTGTAATTGCCTTGCCAGATTTTTAAACTGCAAAGAGTATTCCTGCACCATATCTGATCAGAGCACATTGTATGAATGTATAAAAACGTCGCAATGACGCCCATTATTTTGAATAATTCATATGTGCTTATGAAATGCTAAAAAGGTTTGATTCAGAATTTTAACATGTGGCTAAAGGGTGGTAAGAAACAAACATGATTTCTTTGCATAATTAAAACCAAGATGAAAGGTGCTATCGTCTAACTTTAAAACACATTTTTCAGTATTTAGAATTGTTTAGTATAGCAACAAATAAAAATTGTAACAAGAATGTCACAGCTCAAAAGATTTATAAGTGATCTTAACCTATTTTCTTCTTTATTATCCATTGCTAAAATGGGCATATGCTCAAACACATTTCAGTATTGACAGCTCACATATGGCCAAAGGAATACCATTTATAGTAAAACATGAGTCTGTGTAGCTAACTTTAAAAAAACTGTGATATAACCATGTAAAATAATTATATATTTTGTCTTTGTGTGGTCACTTAAAGTGGCAGCTACTGTGGTTGCTGATTTTTTATGTAAACCAGTAAAAATTTAAATCGTTTTCAAAAATTCAGCTTACTTTTCACTGTGCAAACACTAATTCATTACTTACCAACTGATTAAGTATTTAAAGGAAATACAGATGCTATAAGTGGACATTATTTATGTTAAATGTATAATTATCAAGGAAATATGAAAGTTGTTGAATTACAATGCCACGCTTCTGGTGGAGGTTATGTTTCATTATGTGAGCAGCCAGATACACACAGTGCTGTACTTTCCAACGTTGAGTAACTGGCTGGTTGTTCCCAACAGCCTCTATGTCTTTCTTTCTCTGGTTGCCTGCATTTGGAGCCTTTCACTCTTGAATCATTATTGTACCATATCAAAGATAGAAGGTTGAAATGAGATTTGGGACTTCCTCATTTCATTTCACAAGCTGCTTCTTAGTGTTTACTATGTGCAAAACAGAATGAAATTATTATAGGTTGGTAAACTGGAGGTGTGGCTCAAGTGGTAGAGTGCTTTCCTAGTAAGCATGTGGGCCTAAGTTTAAACCTTGGTACCTCCAAAAAAAAAAAAAAATTAAGTTGAGCATCTCTAACCAGAAAATCTGAAATCTGACATGCTCCAAAATCCAAAAGTTTTTACGCACTGACAAGTAGAAAATTCCATACTTGACCACATGTGACAGATCACAGTCAAAACTCAAATATACTAAAAATATTATACAAGTTTACCTTCGGACTATGGGTATAAGGTGTACATGAAAAAAATAAATAAATTCTTGCTTGTACTTGAGTCCCATCCCCAAGACACCTCCCTATGCACATTAAATATTCCCAATCCAAAAACGGCCAAGAATAATGCTGAAAGAAAAATTAGAAAGAATAGAAAAGAGAGAGACTAAATTATTGGGGATTGCAAAGGCAAGAGGAATGGACAGAGAAATTTGGAAGAGGCTGAAAGGAACAAGGAAGACCAGTGTCTGCCATGAAAGTCAAGGACTGCAAGAGCATAGGAGTGGGCTGAGAATCAAGTAACAAGGGAATAGAAAAGCCCCTTAAACTAGCAACATAAAAAAATGCCCAGTGGAAGGGGTGAACTTGTTCAAAGTGCACTGCATACATGTATGGAATTATCACAATAAAACCTCGTCATTATTAATGTATGCTAATTCAAAAATAAAATAAAATATATATGATCCAGAGCAGTTTGTATCATATGGTGTGTGTGTGTGTGTGTGTGTGTGTGTGATATGACAATATACCTATTTTTCCTCATCTATTCAGTACATAGATCATATACATGTCATATATCATGTCACTTTAACAGTAAAGGACTAAACTGCTATAATTATCGTGAATTAAACACTTTTTCATACTCCTGCTAAAGTCCACTAATATGGCATAAAGTAAATAAATGAAAAGGCATGAAACCAAAAGAACAGAGATAGGAGACAGTGTCAACCAATTAAAAATGTTACCAAAATTATAAAAGATGAAAATGAGATAGAAGAAGGGCAACTTATACAGGTTCTGCTTTCTCTACTAAAGTCCACCAGTGAGGAAGGCTGACATATTTCACAATGCAGGATATACTCAGGAACTGAAGGCAGCAGTTACTTTTGAAGAAAAGGAACTGAAGTGAAGCCAAAAAGTACAGATTTGATCAAAAGTCTAACCAATCAAAGCCGAATATCTATAACTGCCCCGTATAACTTCTAGATCGGATAGATTACATTCTGGAGAGGTTGCACTAGATTATCTCTGGATTCTGGACTTGGTCACAGCAAAGATAGCAGAAGGCTTCTTTCCTGGGATCAAGGATTAAGCAAAGAGCTGCCTCATAAGCAGTGAAATCTCCAGTCCCCCTCCCTTCTAGCAGCAATTAGCACCTTATATGTTCCAGGCAAGAGAATGACTACTATTCTGAAGAAATAACTAACCCAAGTGGAGGGAGAGACAACAGATCACATCAAGGGTGAGGAGGGTTCTCACCAAAATTGGTCATGTGACTTCCCCATTCTCCACATGCCTAGAATTTCTAAGTTGTCCCTTAGTGTCACATTTTAAAATATGAATGGGCAGGTAAAAGCCAGTAGACACTTTACAAAACTCTAAAGTGAAAGACAGAAACTGAAACAAACAGGAAAAAAAAAAATGTGAGATTAGAGAGACAAAATTTTCAGGGAGCAAAAGAAAAAAAAATTATTTCCCCAGAGCAACAAGAATCAAGAGTTAAAACCAGAATATTTAATGAACAAAAGCTGCATTCAGGAAATCAAGAAACTGCTGTTAGAGCTGGGTGCTGGTGGCTCACACCTGTAGTCCTAGCTACTCAGGAGGCAGAGATCAGGAGGATCACAGTTGAAAGCCAGCCCCAGGCAAGTAGTTCATGAAACCATATCTCAAAAAGACCTATCACAAAAAAGGGCTGGTGGAGTGGCTCAAGGTGTAGGCCCTGAGTTCAAACTCCAGTACTGAAAAAAAAAAAAAAAGAAACTGCAATTAGAAATCAAAAGCATGTTGGAAGAAACAAAACACAATAAAAGAGTTTCAAAGGCCAAACTTTAAGAAAAATAGAACGGGAGCACTGAGGAGTGGCTCAAGTAGTACAGCACTTGTCCAGCAAGTGCAGGTCCCTGAGTTCAATCCTCAGTACTGCCAAAAAAAATAATGCTAATGTGAAGTTACTCTGCTAAAGTGTATTTCAACAAATTAAAGAAGGAAATTCAGGAAACATGCTAGACAATTGGTAATCTCCCCACAAATTCTTTTTTGTATAGAAATTTTTGTTTCAAAGGTCAGGAGTGGCAGCACACACCCAAAGTCTCAGCTACACAGGCAGTGGAGATAGGAAAACTCCAGTTCAAGGTTAGCCTGGGAAAATAGTAAGACTATCTGAAAGAACAAGCTGGGCATAATGTGAACACCTCCATTCCCAGTTACATGGAAGGCATAGGTATGAGGTTTATGGCCCAAATCTGGCTCGGACAAAAATAAACTAAAGTAAAAAGGGCTGGGAGTGTGGTTCAAGTGGTAGTGCACTTGCCTAGCCAGGGCAAGGCCCTGAGTTCAAACTCCAGTACCACCAAAAGAAGAAAAGAAGGAGGAAGGGAGAAGAAAGGTGAGGGGGAGGAGGTAAGGGAGAGGAGGAGAAGAAGAAGGAGGAGGGGAAGGAAGAGAAAGAAAAATATATGTATTCATAGCTTGGATATAATCAAATTTACCTTATAAAAATAAGATATTTTAACCAAAACTGTGATATAAGTAAATTGGAAAGAAAGTTTGCTTGATAGTTACAGGGTAAGAAAGTTAAGTCTTAATTTTCTACAGTAGCTATCTAACATCCACTTTAGGAAACACTTAGGAATTAATCCAGGAAAGATGAAGATACACTTGTCCTAGGACCAAAACATTCCACTTACAGAGAAACTGCTCATTCAACCAGGATACAGACACTAGAGTGTTCATAGGAACATTATTTATTTCAGCTGGAAGAAATGGAAACAACTCAAATGTCAACAGTGATAGCTTAAAAAACTAATCGCATAGCACATCCACGCCATGGAATGCTCTCCAACTGTTCAACCCAGCACTATTGACATTTTGGTCCAGAACACTGTCTTGGGCCTTGTCCTGTACATTGCAGGATGCTTAATAGCATCCCTACCAAGGGGCCAGTGACTCACGCCTGTAATCCTAGCTACTCAGGAGGCAGAGGTCAGGAGGACTGTGGTTTGAAGCCAGCCTGAGCAAATAGTTTGTGAAACCCTATCTCAAAAAATCCTTTACAAAAAGTGGCTGGTGGAGTAGCGGCTCAAGGTGTAGGCCCTGAGTTCAAGCACCAGTACCACAAAATAAAAAAAAATTAAAAAAAAAACTCTAGTCTCTACCCACTAGATACCAATAGCATTCTCCCAAGTTGTGAAAACTAAAATGTTTCCAGAAGTTGTTAAGTATCTCCTGCTTGGAAGGAGGTAAATTCACCTCAATTTAGAATTACTGAATTACAGTATGATTCCATCAATATAAAGTTGAAAATTCTGACAAAAATCAAGCTATACTTTATAAGGATGCATACATAGTGAATATAAATAAAGGAAATTATCATGCAAACCAGGACCGTTGTCATTCTTGGGAAATATGGAACACTTATGAGCTGGAAGAGATATGTGACGTTCTTCACCTTCAGTAGGGCTTACAATGATTGCTTATCATATTATTAGTTTATATAGTTATTTTGCACACAAATCCAAACATTACTATAAAATATACCTACATTAACATCATATATTTTATATAAAAAATAAACTTTTGTAATTATTTCTTTAAGTATACATCTTATGTCCTTTTTGCTAACATCTGATTGAAAATTGGCAATCAGTACTAAAGCATGTTATTTAGAATTATGAAGGGAAAAAAACAAAATGGCTAGGGGAGAAGAAAAAGAAAATAAAGTTACTCTTGGGGGTACAGAATTCTCACAAAAAAAAGGAGATGGGGCAGGGAATTATATTATTATTATTATTATTATTTTGGCAGCTCTGGGGTTTGAATTCAGGGCCTCATACTTCTTAGGCACATGTTCTTCCCACTTGAGCCACTCCATCAGCCCTTTTTGTGATGGGTTTTTTTGAAATAGGGTCTGTGAAGTATCTGCCCAAGGCAAAAGCCACCAGTACCTGCCCCGCTAATTCTTTATTTTGAGCCTGTTGCACTAAACTAGGTGGATACATATTAGTTTAATAAATAGAAAGTTTACTATTGAAAATGAAATGATGGTACAGTGGAGCATGGATACATTTCCTGAATCACAAGCAGGTAAGCATTCAGGCCAACCTGTGAATGCTGCTTATTAGTCACTATGGTGGTTAGCATTTATAATGGTGCTAAATGTCTAGATTCTACTGGGATGGCAAAAGTGTAAACTGGTTACCAAATAAGCAAAATAGAGATATTATATAATATTAACTAAAGATCTATTATGCAAACAAATCCTGAGGGAGATTGTAGAGCTGTAATGCATTTACTAGAATAAGCAAGCAAATTAAAAAATACCTCCCTAGAAGTTGGGATGTAGCTCAGAGGTTGAGCTTCCTAGCATGCACAAGGCCCTGGATTTGATCCCCAGTACTGTAAAAACTGGGGGGGAAAAGAAAGAAAACAAAAATGCCTCTCTAATTAATTCTTGAAAATTTATACTTTTTGGCAAAATCAGAGGAAACAGGGAAAGACAAAAAGCAATAATGAGTATTTGAAAGTAAGTTTCACTTCATCAAATTGTGGTGGTAGCAAGATAATTATTTTTAAGAGGGTTGAAACATAAGCCTAATCAATAATAATTAATAAGCATCATCCTAGTATATTTCCAGGCCTGGAAAGTTTAAAGTATTTCCGTAACCAAAGTTGACATTGCTGTCAAGTTTAGAAACTCATTGTATCATGGACTATCATTAATGCATGGAACCTAAAAAAAAAAAACTCAGGGGACTGGCAGAGTGGCTCAAATGGTAGAACACCAGCCTAGCAAGCATGAAACCCTGGGCAAAAGCCACCAGTACCTGCCCCGCTATTCTTTAT